ACGGCGGCCAAAAGCGTTGTATTCGGGAAGCTTTCGCACTCGCGTCAAGCCTTCAGGTTCGCGCACTTCGCGCCGCGCCCCTGCTGCATCGCGCCCGCGTGCGCGCGCAGGAGGCAGCGCAAGTCCAGAGGCCGGTTCCGGCGCGGGCGCAGGCCGCCGGGGGCATTGCCGTTGACGCGCTCCTCGAGACAAGGATTGCGGAGGCGCAGGGGGCCCGCGCGCCACAGTGCGGCGGGGGCCCGCGCGCGGAGCTCCGTTATCTTCGCCGGCGGCTTGACAGCGAGGAAGGCCCAGTGAGCGTCGCTGAGTGGCTGTCTTCGGCGCGCGCAGCGGCCCTCCTGGGCGCATGCCCGCGCTCCATCGCCTCTTTCAAGAGCGGCGCGGCAGCATGGATCGCGTTCGCGCGCGAGGCTCTTGCGCTGCACGGGCGCGAGCTGCCGCCGTCTGCCGACGGGTTGCTCGCGTGGTCGCTGCTGTTTCGTTCCGACCAGACCTTTTCCAATTATGTCTCTCACGTCAAGCTGGCTTGTCAGGTTTGCGATCTCCCTGTAGGACGTTTTTCGTGACGCGCCCCTTCGCCGCGCCAAATGCGCGATTCGCAAGCGCGGCGCTTTCCTGCCCAGGGCGCCCCTATTCATCAGGGAGGACGCAGTTTGCGCGCTGCTAAATCTGGCAAAAGAGCGGCACGAGTCCGCCGTTTTCGCGCAGCTCTTTCTTGTCACGTACGTGTTTCTCTTGCGCCTTCCCTCGGAGGCCCTGGGCATTTCGTTCGACGGCGTCGCCTTTCGTCAGGGCGCAGGGGCTTCCCTCATTCTGTGCGACGGCCTCCTGCAGCTCAAATTGGCGCGCCGCAAGAACAAGCAATTCGGGTCCGTGCTGCAGCGAGCGTGCTGGTGCGCGCGCTGCACCAAGACGTGCCCGGTCCACGCGCTCGGCGCATGGTTCGCGGACCTGCCCGTGGGCACCAGGCCGTTCGCGGACATTAGCGCGGCCAGCTCGCTGAGCACGCTGCGCTTTCTCCTCGGTCAGCTCGGCGTCAAAGACGCGGCGCTCTATCGCACGCACGACCTGCGGCGCGGGCACGCACTGGACCTCCAGCAGAGGGGAGGCACCTTGCGCGAGATCCTTCAAGCGGGCGAATGGTCCTCGCCCGCGTTCCTGTCGTACCTCGATTTGACGCAACTCGAACTCGGCGCCGTGGTCGAGGCGCATCTAGCTGAGTCCGAGGACGAACTTGCCTAGGCAATGGCGACCCAGGCGTCGCGCGACGCCCTCGCGCGTACGCCTCCGCCGCTGCGTGTCACAACACCGCGGCGCCGCCGCACGCAACGCCCGTTTCGCAAGGGGTGCGCGTGCCGCGCGCGTCGCCGCTGCGCGGTGCACCAGCATGCATCGGCTGGGGGTGCTTGCATCCCTGGCGCCCCGCGCGTCGGCTCAGACTGGCACCGCCAGGCTGGACGGCGCGGGGGGTGCCGCACCCCTTGTCAAGTGGGTGCGGGCACCCTCGGGTGCGGGAGGCTTCTGGCGCAGCTGAAATTTGTGGTGGGCGCCCAACGCCATCGAAAGCGCGCGCGCTCGCTTGTGCTGCGTTGTGCGCGGGCACAAATTTCGCGCCCGCGCCTGGCCCGCGCGCGGGCGGGCAAGCTGGGCGCGCGGGCCGCCTCCCGCTTTCCTGCGCCGCGCGGCGCGCGGCCCCACGAGAAGGGCCCGCGCGCGCGAGGCGGGGGGGCGTCAGCATGTGCCTCGCGGCGCGCGGCCCCACGCGAAGGGCCTGCGCGCGCGAGGGGGGGGGGGGAGCGACGGCACGTGCCTCGCGGCGCGCGGCCCCGCGCGAAGGGCCCGCGCGCGAGGGGGGTGCGTCGTCACGCGCGTGGCTAGTCTGCTCTTCTGCTCGCTTTGCGTCGAACGCCCCGTGCAGGCGCGCCGCGGGGATCGCGTCGGGGCGGTTCGCGGCGCGCCTCGGGGTCGTGCGATGTGCAGGCATTGGTGCTTGCATCTCGCAGGCATGTGCGCTTGCGTCCCGCCGTGGCGGACGGCGCGCGCGCTTTCGCCCCACCCTCCCGCTTCTGGGGGTACTGGCATCCCTGGCGCCCCGCGCGTCGGCTCAGACTGGCACCGCCAGGCTGGGCGGCGCGGGGGGTGCCGCACCCCTTGTCAAGTGGGTGCGGGCACCCTCGGGTGCGGGAGGCTTCTGGCGCAGCTGAAATTTCTGTATTATTAGTCGTAGTTGTTGTTGTCGTAGTAGTAGTGGTAGTCGTTGTCATAGCCGCAGCCGTACTAGAAGTAGAAGAAGAAGTAGTAGTAGTAGTAGTAGTAGTAGTAGTTGGAGTAGCTTTGTTGGTAGTAGGGGTACTCGTACTTATAGTCGTCGTAGTAGTAGTAGTTGTTCTAGTCCTAGTCGTAGTAGCGTTAGTAGTTGCAGTCGTAGTTGTACCAACGGTAGTAGTAGCACTAGCGATGTAGTCATAGTAGTAGCCATACTATTAAAACTACTACGGGCCCTACTATTAATACGACCACTAGTGCTACTACTACTACTGCTGCTACTACTACTACTACTACTACTACTACTACTACTACTACTCCTACTGCCACGATTATTACGATTACGACCAACCCCACTACATTTACTACTACACTACTACTGCTACGAGTACGACTACTATCATTATTTCTACGGCCGGTATGACTACGCATATTACTACTCTACTACCATCACTACTACTATCACTACTGCTACTACAGCCACGATGCTGTTCACTACTATTACGCCTACCACATCGATTATTATTAGGACGACGGCGACGACGACTTTTACTACTACTACTACTACTACTATTGCGACTATTTATACTATTATTACTACTACTACTACTACTACTACCAACAGTGCTAGTACGATGTCTACTACTTCTACTACTACTACTACTACTACTACTACTACTACTAGAACTACTAGAACTACTACTACTACTACTACTACTACTACTACTACTACTAGTACTAGTACCAGTACTAGTACGAGTACTAGTACTACTACTACTACTACTACTACTACCACTACTACTACTACTACTATTACTAATACTACTACAAGTACCCCTACGACTACGATTGCTATTGCAACTAATACGGCTACGAATACTATTACTACTACCAATCTGGCTACTACGGCTGTTATTACTTATACTACTGCTGCGCCTCCTACTTCTACGGCTACGATTACTACCATTACTACCACTAGTGCGAGTACTAAGATTATTATTTCTACTACTATTATTGATACGGCGACTACTACTACTACTACTACGACATACTACTACTACTGCCACTACGACTACTACTACTACTATCACTACTACTACTACTACTATTACTGGTGTTACAACAACTACTACTACTACTACTACTAGAACTACTACTACTACTACTACTCCTACCACTGCTGCTAGTACTATTCGTACCAGCATTCTTACTACCACCACCATCACCACTACGACGACGACGACGACGACGACGACGACGACGACGACGACGACGACGACGACGACGACGACGACGACGACGACTACTACTACTACTACTACTACCACTACTACTACTACAACTACTATTACTACGACTACCACTACTACGACTACTACTACTTCTACTACTACGACTTCTTCTACTACTACCACTACTACCACTACTACTACTACTACTACTACTACTACTATTACTACGACGACGACTACTACTACTACTACTACTACTACTACTACTACTACTACTACTACTAAAACTACTACTACTACTACTACTACTACTACTACTACTACTACTACTACTACTACGACTACGACTACGACTACTACTACTTGAACTACAGGCCGTAGTCGTCGCCGTCGCCATCGTCGTCGCCGTCGCAGTCAAAGTCGCAGTCGTAACATCCATAGCAGGAAGGGCGGAGGAGGACGAGGAGGAGGAGGAGGACCAGTGTTAACCCAAGAGTCACCAACGATGTTGGAATTAACCTTCCCTCCAAGCCCCCACAACGGTTCATTTCCATCGGAGGAACCGCCTCGTTGGAAGACAACCGTTTGAAGACCTTGAAGCACGCCACCAACACATTGTTCTCGGGATTTCCACGCCACGGATCAACCTGACTGCTGCGTCCTGACGGCGTGGAATGGTACCAGAACGTCATTGCTGGGATATCAAAACCGCGAAGCGACATAACCTTTGCACCAGTCCTTCCAAAACACTTATTTTTCTGGTACGCTGATCATGGAAATCCGTGGATCTCCTGCAAATGTTTGAAACGAATGGGCGCGGCGCTAAGGCGAGAGCCACATTTTGAAAAGGAGCCGACCTCAATCCGTGAAACTGTTGCAAATGCTTAAGCAGATGTTGACAACCACCTGGCCTCAATCCGTAAATCTCCTACAAATTCCCACAGCGAATGTGCGCGGCGCTAAGGCGAGAGCCACATGTTGAAAACTACCCGCCCTCAATCCGTGAAGCGCTTGCAATGTTTGAAAACGATTGTGCGCGGCACTAATGCGAGAGCCACATTTTGAGAACGACCCGCCCTCAATCTGTTAAACCGTTGAATTTATTTAAGCCTCGGATTCATACATGGTGAGGAAGTCTCAGGCAAAACGCCCGGCCCGCCCTAGAAACTGGCCTCGGGGTGTGACATGGCAAAGTTCTTTACAACGAAAAAAGGAGCAGGAGGAGGAGGAGGAGGAGGAAGAGGAGGAGGAGGAGGAGAAGGAGGAGGAGGAGGATGAGGAGGAGGAAGAGGAGGAGTTGAAGGAGTAGAGGCTGCGGGCGGGGGGGGGCGGACGAGGAGGAGGGGGAGGAGGAGGAGGGGAAGGAACGGGAGGCGGAGGAGGAGGAAGAGGAGGAGGAGGAGGAAGAGAAGGGCTGGAGGATAGGGACTGGGAGGAAAAAGGGGTAGAGGGATAGAGGGCGATGAGTGCGACGAGAAGGAGGCGGACGAGGCGGGCCTTCAGGATCCGGTGCGGGCCTTGAAGGTGCTGGCAGAGGTCTTCCGGCGGGCGCGCGGCCTGTGGCCGCTGACCGAGGAGGCCCGGAGTTGGTGGGTCTCCGTCCGGGTAGACCAGCTGAAGGAGCCGAGAAGGAGGAGGAAGGGGAGGAGGTGGAGGACAAGCTAGGCGCGCTCGCGTCATATCTGACGTCCTACCCCTCCCTCCCATCCCTTACCATGGTGCTGATTTTCTCTATCCGCGGACGCGTGTCGTAGCGGACCTGTGGCTCCGCGCGCGCGTGCGTAGTGGGTGGTGGTGCACGTGCGTGCGTGCGTGCGTGCGTGCGTGGTTGTGTAGGTGGGTGGGTGCTGGTGCTGGTGGGTGGTGGGTGCTGGTGCTGGTGCTGGTGCTGGTGGTGGTGGTGTGGTGGTGGTGGTGGTGGTGGTGGTGGTGGTGGTGGTGGTGGTGGTGGTGGTGGTGGTGGTGGTGGTGGTGGTGGTGGTGGTGGCTGGTGCGGCGCGGTGGTGGCGGGCGGATGGGCGCGCGAGAAAAAGGCCCGCGCTGGGGCGAGAACGCCATCCTGAACGACGGAGGCCAAACACCGATCCGAAAATGAGGCCCACGCTGCAGCGGGAGCACGATTCGGAACGATTCGGGAGCAGAAATGAGGCCGGCGCCTCAACGAGAGCAGCATTTTGGGAAAAAATGACGCCGGCGCCTCAGCGAGAGTCGTTTCCCGGGATTTCCCGGGCATCCTGTGTGTAAAAAAACAGTACGCAGAGGGTGCGCGGCCATCACCCGGACGCCATCAGGGGAAGAGGGAGAGTATTTTCATATTGAGTAATTGTGGAGGAGGAGGATCGATCCTCGAGGAGGAGGAGGAGGAGGAGGAGGAGGAGGAGGAGAGGAAGAGGAGGAGGAGGAGAGGAGGAGGAGGAGGAGGGGGAGGAGCAGGGGGAGGAGGAGGAGGAAGAATGGGAGGAATGGGAGAAAAATGAGGCGGAGGAGGACGAGGAGAACGAGGAGGACTAGGAGAACGAGGAGGACGAGGACGAGGAGGAGGAGGAGGTGGAGGAGGTGGGGGAGGAGGAGGGGGAGGAAGAGGAGGAGGAGGAGGAGGAGGAGGAGGAGGAGGAGGACTTGAGGTAATATGGCCTTGTGGCACCTTGCCCCATCAGTGGGCCCAGTTTCCTGGAGCCACTGCCCCGAAGAGCACAGTGGCCCCAATGGTGCGAGTAGCCTGGGGCCGTTGTCCGGACCGCGCGGCACGAGGTCGTTCTGGGTTCGTAGCCTGCTGGAGTCGCAGGCAGGCCGCAAGAGGGTCCCAAGAGGGCACCCAGGGCGGTCACAGGATGGTCCACATATGGAGTCAGCGGCGTAGATTTTCATGTCGGAACCTGCCAGAGCAGCAGTAAAACCTCCAGAGGGTCCCAAGAAGCCCCGTGTCGGTCACGAAAATGCCCACAAGGCAGACTTGCAGCATAGGTGTGCATAGATGGGGAAAAGCCACGCCTGGGTGTTTAGGACCTCGCAGGCCAGTTGATGCGTTCACCCTGGTCTTTGTGATCGAGTATGGCCGTGAGCCACGCGTCCGGATCCAATCCCACAGAAGCGGTAAGGTTGATGTAGCAGAAAGAGTGGGTTGTTCCTGAGAGTTACACAGCATTGCTGTTTTTCAAAAGGTGGGGATTTCTGGGTAGGTTTTCAAGCGAATGTGCGCAGGTTCTCTCATCGGCCACGTGGCCTGTAAAGAGATAAACAAATATTGGCCTCACTCTTGGAGGGAAACTGAGAAGGTGACGAATGCAGAAGCGACAATTGCACGAAGGTCGGTACCACGACAGCCTGCCGAGGATGGGCTGGCATCTCTGAGAGAGTACGTGCATGCGCCTGCGGATGGGCCGGCACTTGCGAGCGCTGTCTTGCGCACGTGGCCGCAACTCCGCCTCCCGGCTGCCATGATTTTGGCTTCCTCGCCGAGGCCGTTTTGGACGCTCCAACGCGTCGCGAACCCCCCCGTCCAGGTCCAGGGAACAGGGTAGGGGGAGGGGTAAACCCCTCCCCGAAGGGGACGAAGGAGGTTGGAAAAGGAAACTCCCTAAACCACCTACGCCCAGAGGGCTGGTGGGATTTTTGATGGAGTATGGTGGGACATAGAATGCTGTGATTAAGACGGCATGGGCATGTTGCTACACAGTGTCCAAGGCAGGGAAGAAGACAACGAACGGCACGAGTACATTGCATGTTTGTCGCCAGGAAGGTCAACATTTTGGCTGAGGGGGCTCAAGCGGCTCAAGGGACTCACGCTCACATGGCATCTCCCTATACCGTTTGAGGGACCGCAGCTTCCTTTCGCTGAACGCACTCTTGTTTTGCAAGTTTGGTGTCTACGAACGGTTTTCGGTTGCATCGCGAGGTGTTGGAGTACATGCAAGCACGCGTGCAAGTAAGCACGACGTGGCTACGACATTTGTTTCTTGGAATGCTCAGAGAAGACTTGCCGCTCGTGCCCCCAAGGTGTTCAAAAGCTTAGGTTGCCGCTACGGGAACAATGTGTTCGCTGCCTTCAGGAGGTGCCGAGGTGTGGATTGCAGATGTCTTGCGCTCTCGCCGTACTCTCAGCAGATGAGGCTGATTGTGCCATCGTTCTTCCGCGAAGTAGAGTCGGCGAAATTTGTGGAACAGCATCGGACGTATCGGGCGGTAGTTGTTCTGGGTTGTGTTATTGGTGCATCCGCGCACTTGCTGGATTATTCTCAGGGCGGCATCGTCGAGAGTGCTACTCTCATCGAGCTGACGACAGCACTGGGCATTGCGAGAGAAAAATTGTTGGAGAGATCGGGAGTGCCACTGACTGGTCGGTTTGGACGCCAATGCCGCTTTCCGGCGGAGGAAGGCAATGAAGCGACGGAGGACCACTCATCATATTGCCAACGCGATTCCGAATGACACACCGGTTAGGCTTCTTACGCTGGCGAAGCGCAATAGAGCTCACGATGCACCTCCGCCCCTCAGTCTTCAGCTAAGCGGCAGGGAAACAGCAGATGGATCGACATGGGAAAAAAACTCCACCAGGCCGGTGGAAGGAAACTTCAGGGATTCGCAGGAGTCCGTCGCAGCTTGCTGATCCATGGTTCAGACTGTGGGGGAGGGGGCAAAACAGATCGGACGGACGTCAGGCCAGCCTACGTTCGCTGAGTCTGCAGAGCAGTCGACACGGCGTTCGCACGACACCGCACCAGGACCCAGCGAAAATGTTTGGTAAGATGTGGGTGCGCTCGCCTCGTTGGATGAAGTGTTGCATGTTTGATGAGTTTCTGCGGCTTTGGAGGGGCCGTGCCCAGCTGGAAGCAGTTCGCTCTCCGTGGGATGGGGAAGTCCAAAGCACCTCAAGATTTCAGAGGCTTTCGGTGGTTAGGTTTGATGGACCACCTTTGCATGCTTTGGACAGCTACCACGTGCGCGGCCATTACCAAGAACATGAGCAGGCCGGGGAATATCAGCAGTTACGGATACAAGCGTCGAGCTTCTTTGGATGATGCGTTTGCGGTGTTGTTTGCGACCCTCGTTTGTGCAAAGCGTTGGCAAGACGTGTCGCTGGTTCTGGGCGCCCAGTACATATAACCTTTCGATGGTGTGAGGCACGTTTACATTATGATTAAATGCGCTGTTTTTCCCTGGGGTAATCATCAACCGGCGATTTGTACTTGGCAGGGATATAAGCAATAACCTTGTACATGTGTCTGTCCCAGATGCCGTAGTTATGGATTTGCTTGCAGGTGGAAAGCTTCACGGCCAGGTTGAGCGATCGAGCCACATATATACATATATATATATAGAGAGAGAGAGAGAGAGAGAGAGAGAGAGAGAGAGAGAGAGAGAGTCATCAGGATGTTTGAGGACATCATCTCTAAATTGGAGGGTCGCTGGGCGGAAATGGGCGTAGGGTTTGTGCTGCTGGACATTGGTTTCCGATTTGACAACTTTTTCTAGCCCAGATCAGAAGCAGTCCGCATTCCTAGTCAGCAGCCTATCCAACTTTCTGTTCCGACGCCATGGCTGGAAGTGGAAACATAAGTCTTTGGAGAGCTTGTTTGAGAAGGCCGCGTGGCCGACCAGCGCGGTGAACGTCCAAGTTGGAATGGTGCGCTGAACTGCCGCCTCGTGGAGCAAATGGGGGCTTTTGGTGGCTGATCGAATTCAGCTGGCCCCAACGGTGCACACATACAGCACGGATCATCCAAAGGAGAAGTTTGTTTCCATCGGTATGCACGCCAGCGTCGTAGTAAGCAGCTTGTGCATTTCAAGCTGCGAGCCTTCGCTGCAGCACCGCGCCCGCGACATCTTCCAGACCCGCCAGATCCCAGATATTCTCGATTTAGTTAGCTTCGCCAGATGTTATCCGTAAGGGCTTCGCCACCTGTCGCTGGCCCCCTTCTTCATCATCATGGGATCTATCAGAGTCGCGTCGGTGCGTCTCGGCGCTGCCTTGGCGTCTGGGAAGGAGTGCGGGCGCAGCGTAATTTACTAGGGGTCGGGGCCCTGGGAGCGCGACCCCAGTGTAATCTACGAGGGATCGGGGCCCTTGGAGCGCGGGCGCAGTGTGAATTGTTCAGGTTCGTGGCCTTAGGAATGCGGACGCAGTGTAATTTATGAGGGGTCGTGACAGCTGGAGCGGGGGCGCAGCGTGATTTTGGACCTCGTCTCGGTTGGTATTGCTTCGGTCCGTCCTGTCTCAGTTCGTCGTGTCTCGGTGTGCCGCGTTTCGGTCCGTCCTTGCTCGGTGTGTTCCGTACTTCTTTGGATTCGCCCCTTCTCAGTTCGTGCCGTTTCAGAACTGAGAATCGGAACTTGAGCTCGGCAGCACGGCACAACGCGGCGCAGGACAGCGCGCATTGTTGGCACGTCTATTTCGTGGGGTGGTTCGTGGAGTGTTTCGTGGGGCGTTTCGTGGGGTGTTTCGTTTGGTGATTCGTGGGGTGGTTCGTGGCTGTTCGTTGGGTGTTTCGTCAAGTGTTTCATAACGTGCTTCGTTGAGTGTTTCTTGGGGTGTGTCGCGGGGTGCTTCGTAGGGCGTTTCGTGGGCTGTTTTGCGTTTCGTTTCGCCCAGCATTTCGCAGCACGGCACAGCGCAACGCAGC